GACTGGTAGCTGCTTCTGCTCTGTTGACGTAAGTGGAACAGTTTGTCTGGTGATGTTTAGCCATGGAAACACTGCTGGGTAGATGGACTCAGTGATTTTATTAGAGGGGGAATCAACCAGCACCCACACAATTACTCCATCTCTCCTGAATCAATATACAGTCAATACTAGAATGACATTGGCTTGCTTTGATGTAGATCATCAAATTTCCAGCTTGCAGATAACTCCCTTTTGAGTCAGCTGCTTGCCTGACTCAGACAAAATGCAATATGTCATGTGAAAATTGGACCAAACCTACATTTCGAAAGAACAACGGTCATCGCTCAGCAACTCTGAGGTGAGGAATGTAAACAGGAAATTTACTTAGCAACTCAAACCAGACTCTAAACTGACCGCCAAGACAGCTCTAAAAAAAAAAAGCTCCTCGGGTTTACACTCCATTTTTGGTGTTATTTGGTTTAATTCGCTCAACTCCCTGTTTCACCTCCCCCCACCTCCCTTATCCCCTCAGGTCTCACCCCCCCTCAGGCCTCTTCCAGTCCGGGACAGTGCGGCTGGTCGGTCGGGGTCATTAGTCAGAGGCACTGGAGGATCTGACTCACCTCCTCGTGAGTCTAAACACCATTAGTTTCCAGGTGGCGCACTGAGATGCTATTGTGCTTCTGATTAGCCGGCTCAGACGCATGGACTGATGTGGGAGTTGGAGGTGGGGGAGTGAGGGAGGAGGCGTTCCCTCCATGTGGAGTTCCCAACGTCTGCATGGCATGAGTCAGCGAGGAGGTAATGGGTGTACGGCTACAGTTGTGTGTGTGTGGTCGGCGGGTTGAGTGGCAGAAGGAGAGGATGCTGGTGTGTTCTCATGATGATTAATGTCTGCATGGGACCACCAGGGTGAGGTCTTTGTCTGTCCTGTGGGTCTATTAATTCTCACATGTCTCAGAAGGCCGGTGGATTAACCGCAGAGGTCACTTTTCCCAATCAAAAAATAAATCAGGGAAATAATCTGCAGATAGAAAGGCAGCATTAGTGTAAATATGTGTTGTTATGGAGAGAGTTTTATACGGTGTTGGGATTGTATTAGGAGAGAAAAATGGGATTGGAAATTGTTGAGTCAGTTGGATAAAGTGACTCTCCTCCTGTGATTTTAAATTAAAACAAGTTTTGTTCGATATCTGATCCTCATTTGCTGCAGCCAACGATCTATAAGCACGACAAGAGCATCAGCGGAGCAAACAGCAACAACGGTTTCATCGACATGCGACACCAAAGCCTGCACACTTTCTGTTCGCTTTCATCTCAGCGAGCGCAGCCATCCAGACGACACCGGAGGAGGCGTCTGGGTTTCTGATTGGAAACAAATGAAAGTTTCCAGGTCGCTCCGCGTCTCACTTTCTCTCCAAAATCAAACTTTCAGTCAGGCGGCGTCTCGCAATAACAGTGCAGCCAAAAGCAAAACAACAACAACAAACGGGCTCTGCTGCAGTGTGGGACGCTGGATGGAAACAGCATTTTACCGAGACAGTCATCTTTCTAACCGGCATTTATTTTAAAAGATTAAATGTGTAAGTCCGCTTTGTGCTGCTTAAACAGCTCTGACGCATCAGGGCATCTACAGGGGGCCTCTGGGGGTGTCTTTGGTGTCCGGCACCAAGAAGTTGAATCCTTTGGGTGAGTTTTAAGGTGAGGCCTAGATGAGATGGAGGGAGTAGGAGGTCTGATCAGTGCTTTGGGCCTCTTTTCAGGCTTTCTTGGGCAGGTTAATGCCAGGACCCAAGTTTTCTCAGCAGAACATTGATTTTTAATGTTGTTTCAGTAGTTTTAATGCTGCAGCTGACTGCTATATGCCACGCAAAATTATCTAACAATGGAGAAAAAAGAATAAAAAAGAAGCTGTATGTGGATCTAAGGAGGCTCTTTTAATCCAGAGGCTCAGTAGAGGACTACAAGTAACTAAACCATGAGGTCCTACAAGAAGGGCCGGAGCGGCGTCTGCTTTCTGAGGAGGTCCGTCAACATCTGCTGGAGCGTTCTGAGGGTGTTTTACGAGGCTGTGGTGGCCAGCGGTGGCTGATTCACAAGACCTGCAACACTACGGGGGTGGAGCTGGACTCTCTGGCAGCAGCAGAGGAAGACACTGATGTCGTCACGTTTTGGTTCATGACAAAGAACAAACCAATGGCGTTCCCATCAGTGTGTGTCTACTGGGTATACTTGTGCAGTCACTAACTTTACATTTTAGATTTTTACTTCACCGATTTTTTAAAGCCACATTATATTGACCATCATTTACTGTTGACAAGCAGTTAAAGGGGAAAACTTGTAAGGGGGTGAATGGTGTCTACAAAGAGGGTTGGCATGCTAATACTCTGGTTAAAATGATAAATGATTGCGTCAGAATGTGTCGCTGTGAGCACATTAGCCGGCTGACATTTAAACTCTTGGTATTGATTTTCTGTGAAGGAATCCATTTCTAACTAGTGACTGGAAACTGCAGCATCCGCGCTACATGAAGGAGGAACAGTTTAAATTTACATTACGAGCCAGCAGGAGGTGAGAGTTTGCCTCCCACACAGATTTTAGGCGGAATATTCCTTTACATGATGCACATTAGGAGCCTGAAGAGACGACTGACAATCTGTGCAGCTGCTGGAAAACTTCAGCTCGATCAATACTCACTACAAAACACTCACACACATTAGAATAATGCCACAGCTGCCTTCACTGACCTGATCCACTGTGTGAACCAAACCCTGGCTGCTTCTCACTGCTCTCCTCCATTGTTGTCTTAAAGTATGCCAATCAATAGCCCCCCACTGACTCCCGCCAACCAATCAATAGCTTTCCTTCCCTGGAGGGGGCGGAGTTTCAACTGTTCACACTCTAGAAATGACAGAGGTTCAAAGAATCCAGTAACTTGGTGCTGGAGGGCAAGAAACACACAGAGCCTGCAGTCTGACACAGAGGAGCTCAGCAGAGGAGGATGATGAAGGAAACACTGCCCTCTTCTGGCAACAAGCAGGAACTACAATGAGGACGAGGGTTACTTTCCTTTATGGTCTTGTGAGAATTTCATCAGCATTTAACTTTATAATTGTCGGTAAGATGCTCAGAATGAAAGCTTGTCTTGTCTCTGACTCATGTTTTCTGTCTGACTTTGTGCTACAAGCTGCCAAATCGAGGCAAAAAAGAAAGTTAAGGGATGTCTGATAGAACGATTTCTGCAACCTCTCTGCTCCTGCTGCATCCTGCCTCCAAGAACCGTTTTTTTTAGTATTGTTAATGAAATTAATGAAATGAAATGAAATGAAATGAAAAATACTTTATTTATCCCAGAAGGGAAATTCAATAAATTTGTGTTAATTCATTATTATGAAACTCTTGCTGTCGTCCAAAAAGATGAAAGAAAACAGCTACAGAGCCACAGTCCTGGACTCATAATAGGTATATTTATATATAAACCTGCTCTAATAATCAAACACACATCAACTCTGCAACATGTCCGTGTGTATACAGTCATGTTCACTACATACACATGAACACATGCATTGGTTTAGCTGTTTAACCTGAATCTAAAAGACTAACCAGCCCTCAATTCATGACATAACTGTTGCACTGCTTCGTCTTATTTAACTTGTTTAATCTTCTGCGTGTTCCCTTTTGAATAATTCATTAAATTCATACGTGAATGCTTGACTTTCTGGTCACACAGTCGAGCACGAAACAGTAAAATCCAGCAATTCAAAGACATGAAAGAAAGTAAACAGAGATAAAATCTAAACGCTGAAGGCTGACTTTGAAAGAGCAACTTTAGCTACTTCCAAACTCAGACAGCAGATGGAGGCAGAGAGGTCCTGTAGGAGTTTAAATGCTGCAACTGGTCATTATTTTCAGTCTTAAGTTTAACTATTTAGCTTTTTCTTTCCTTTGCAATGAATTGTGTTGTTTCTAAAATGCCGGAAAGCTATGGAGTAGTGACGGTGCCAAATTACAAAAATAAATCAATGAAAGAATAAAAAAATAAAAGTGGAAATAAAAAGAAGAATAAATAAAATAAAAAATAAATAATGTGGCAATATAAAGCAATATTAATCAAAAATGAATCCATAAAGAAAAGGCTAATAAAAGTAGAAATATAAAGACAAATAAATAAAATAATTTTTTAAATTATTTTTTTCATTATTTTTTTATTTTTTTATAATGTTTAAAGGTGCAATGACATTCCTGCTGTGCACATTTTTCTGCGCATATTTCCTTTGCTTTTGAAGTGACATTTAGAAAAAGTGCTTTAAAAGCAAAATAAAATAAAATAAATAAATAAAAATGACAAAAATAATTGTAAAAAAAAAAAATAATGTAAAAAATTTAAAATAATTTCATATATAACTCAAATAATAAGAAAAATAAAATGTAAAAATTAAAAAAATAAAATAAAAATCACTACTCCAAAGAAAACAGCTCAAAGTCACATTTTGATATCATTTGTTTGCACAACAGCCAAGAAAAGAAAGCTATTCAGTCTTCTGTCAAGTTGGCTCTCAATTAGAAGACCCATTACAAGACAGAACACATCCCAGGGACCCCCTCATGTATGTCCCTTGTGATGATTTTGTTGAAGCCCTTCCTATAGTCTTAGTTATGTGACAGAACAACACAAGAGAAATGCTTCAGAAAGACACTGAACACGTATTGAAAACATCTGCATCATTTCAACACAGATAGTAGACGTGAGGCAAACACACAGGTCATCCTCCGCTTTGGACTAAGCCCTGTTCTTCTTGCTGAGAATGACTCACAGATATGTGGTTGGGAAAAGGAAGCAACATCTGTGTGGTGAGTGCAACAAGAACTGGACATTTCCAATGAATTCACGGCCAAAAGAATTAAATCGTCAGTTCTCCGTCCCATGACAAGTGGCAGTCCCAGACACCAATGTGACAGTGATATACTCATTAAACAGTCATTAAAGAAGGCAAGATGTGATTCATTTTTCATAATCTCACCTGGTGTTTGGTTTGGGTCCAAAACCTCTGAGCTGAGGAAACATGTCCGCAGTCCCTTTGTTTGTGTGATTTAGATGCTTTGTGTCGAGGTGCCTCCTCCGTTCGGCCTCGTTGGCGAGAAACTGCAAACACATGAGATGTTTCAGTCTCCAGCTCATTTCAAAAATGCCATTCTGGAAATAATCCTCACTGTATCCCCTCACTTTTTAATTTTGTTTATCGTTTAGGTGCACTTTATTTGTTGTAATAGCTCATCATTTTAAAAAAAAATCTGTCATTAGTTAGATGTTAGTTTCAGTTAGCGATTTAAAATGAAAACAGCCTCCTATTCATTTATGACATGTTTTGTAAAAAAAAACAAAAAAAAAAAACAACATACTGTTAATATGTCATGATAATTTAAATGATTTTATTCACGGACCCCCTGACAGCGTGCCGTGGACTCCTGGAGGTCCACAGACCTTCATTTGAGAGAATAGAATAGGAGGTTATCAGCATTTTGCATTGAAAATTTGAACAATTTCAACAATACCTACTCATTTATTTTATACTAAAGCCAGTTCTTCACCATTACAGACTCACTTGTGCTGCTGACACATTGACATTGACATGTTTCAGGCTTTAAGCAGCTTGCTGGAGATTCTGCTTTGCAAAATCATGAAGCTATTTTAACATCATAACATTTACCTCTTGTCTTTTTTTAATACAAAAAGACAGAGAACTTTGCTGCAGCAGCAAACTGCACGGTGCAGATGGATATTCAGCCAATAATAAGTGTGACTCCTGTCGTTTTCCACTAGGGGGCGGTATAAGCCTGTATGCAGCGCAGGTGGCGACAGTGGCTCCACCTCCATTCACAAAGCGCAATGTGGTGACTAAAGCCTGTGCAAAATCAGAAGCTGAGATTATATTGGACTGTTATTTTTACTGTTCGGCTTCTCAGATCTGAAACACGACCGTTTACTGCTTCTGTTGGCCACTTCTATGACAAACAGATATGCATAAAATCAGCCCTGGTCCTCAGAGTGAATGATAGAAGTTGCAGCATGTGCAGCTGGTGTGATACTTCAAGATGCATGAAACAGACACGTCTGTCCCTTTCATTTCACTGTGCTGCAGCTTTGATCTTTTGTTTCACTCAGAAGAAGCTGCTGCAGCAACAGTTCATTGAAAAAAAAAAAAAACAAGAAAAAAGAAGCAAATGTATAAATACATGTGAGGCAGGCAAGTGAAGCATTTTGCATGAAAAGATAAGCAATTGCCGTGTGAAAACTGTTTTTTTCTTCTTTTCTTTTTTGAAGTTTCAGGCTCCGCAACCACCACTTCCTCTGCTGTGAAGCCACTGGGTGCAGGTCTTTACTGGAAACCAGTAGCTCTGACTAAAAACACCACAGTAGTAATGTATGGTGCAGTTGTGGCAGCCGTTAGATACCAATAAGCTGCACAGTGCAAGACAGTTAACCCCTTCGGTGGCGTCTGCACAAGACCTGGTGACACATCCTGCGTCTTCCCATCTGCAGCGTGTGGCAGCACCTTACTGGAAACGAGTAAGTTCAACTGTAATCCAGCGGTCAACAGCACCTGCCCACAACAGACTCGCTATGGGTGTGAGCGAACTATTATTACTGCAGTCGGTTCACGACGAGAATGTGTTTCAAAGTTCACATGCTGATATCAGACACAGGACTGCTTCCTGTGAAGATATGACAATGAATTCGGTTACCACTGCTAGAGACACTGCAGTTTCTCTGACTAGGTTGAAGCTGTGCAGCCTTCATTACTAGCTCTTGTCACCAAAGACTTGTCACCATCAAACCATAAAAGACAACCATGCACACATCCAACTGCAGAAAGTCCTGTCTTCATAAAGGAATGTAAAATTCTTGCCTGTTGCTGTTCCTCGTGATCTCAGGTGCAGCTTTGACAGCATGCACCCAAAAAACTTCAATGCAACAAAGACAGACTTCTATAGCATCTGATCTGGCAGCACTAAGAAATGAAGGATGACACGAGCACATGAACACACAAAAAAACCCTCCAGGTCAGTCACTGACAAAATCTCGAGCAGATTTCTTGAGCAGCCGAACCTCAAAGTTTCTGCGATATCTTTCTGAGAAACAGACAGGAATGAAAACACAACCTTCCTCCCCTCTTCTTGGTAGAGATACAGCAACACACACACACACACACACACACACCAGCAATAAGACGGCAAGTTCTGCAAGTTATTACCTGATTAAAAGAGAGACGATAAGACAAGAATGCTGTTGATGAGAGTTGATGAGATTGACTTACTTTCACTTCAACCTACAAAACAAAAGGATAAAAGGTTACAGCTGGCCACAGGAGCAACAGGTATGCACACACACTGCACCCACTCACTCATACAGTGTGCAGCCTCACACGAGCCTCAACACTTTCACACACAAATCAGTGAACACAGACAAATGCTCTTCCAAACGCTACCATGCAACACCTTCCTTTGATCAACTGTTTTGTCATGTGCAACTAATTTTCCGCCTTTAATCCTCTGCTACTTGTTTCGACCCATCAGGCGGAGGTCAGTCCAAAAAGGAGCAACACAGCGAGTATGAAGCTGCAACTAGAGCTGCTGCTTTTAGTTCCTGAAAAGCTGAGATGTTGGAGATAAGAGACTCTTTGCCCTACCAGGGAATTATGTCAAAATCGACACCGGAGAGGCGACAGAAGAGGAAGTGCTACTGTCCTTGTGCTGAGTGTGCTCGTAATAAGAGGCCCTGTGATGACACAAACTGTACAATAAGTCTGTTTTACTGTTTGCTTTATAACGTAGACTCCAATAAAGTGTCAGGAATCCTGTCTGTCTTTATCTTAGCAGAGGTTGCACCATTCTCGCTGCAGATTTAAGGGAGTCCCATGAAGGATCTGACAGCTTTTAGCGCTTATAATCTACAATCCTGGTGTTCAGTAGCTTAAAATCCAGCTGCTTCGTGCCAAACGTTACAGTGCATGTCCACAAAACCTCACAAAAAAGTAGGAAGGACCTTAATGTGACGGGTGACGAGTACATCTTAGAGAAAGATTAGAATTTACAGCTCTCTTCAGTTTTGACAGCAGAACACATCAAAAGCCCCAAAATGAGCTTTGAGTCGAGTGTTCTGACTTCTCTTGTGTTGCGATTTCTACTTTTTAAGGTGGAACAGCTTCCCACTAAAGTACAGACGTATCTGCCATTTTCGGAAATGCATCTATTCTTCACCTTCTAATTCAGAGTTCAGTGAGTACGTCGCTCGTGTCTGAGACAGGAAGGGGTGGTAAACCGTTCACACCAAAGTTCACAAGTATGGCTACAAGCGCCTCCAAAGCAGCGACACTCTGGAGCGTCTGCTGCTTACCTGGAAACCTCACACTCACTTCATATTGGCTGTAGCGTGATAGCTGCTCCCCCCTTGTTGCATCCCTGAGCAGCTGCATCCTTCTTCTTCCTTTTGTGGGATTTTTAGTTTTGTATGTAAATTTCTGTGTGCAAACCTCTGCTGCTGATTGATGTCTGCTTCACCCGACCTGCTGCTCCATCGACTTTAGTTAAACCAGCACCAAACTGCCTCCAATCTAGACATGTTAATTATAACTACATATGTGTTTAAAAGCTTGTGAAGCTCACTCACGTCTTGCTTTCTTTAAAAACTGGCTTTAAGATGCTAGTTTGGTAGCAGGAAGGCCAGATTGGTGGTCTTAAATTTGCAGTTAAATAAAATTAGATACAGGTGCTTGTCCGTCGTACTTTTTGTTCAGGGTAGAGTATGGGCAAGGTTCGATTTTGGGGCTTTTATTTTGTCAAAAGAGAATAGGTAAGTGCAACTTCTGGTTGAAGTCATATCAGTTTTGTTTGTTTGAGAAGCATCCTCCACCCTCAGCTCCTCCTTTTGCTTCTTTTGTGTTTGAATTGTGTTAATTTCCCACCTTTTATTTAAAAAAAACTATATAAACAGCTGATTTTAGTTACTTCTTTCTCCAATTGAGCTGGTTTGTAGTAAAGTGGGGGCTCGTCCGGGATACTTTTCCCCCCCAAGCTCAAAGCTGGTTAATGAGCCTTTATGCTAAGCTAGGCTATAAATCTTTATGCTAAGCTAGGCTAATTGCCTCCTGACTTCACACTTAACACAGATATGTGGCTGCTATATACGAATCAAACTCTCACCAGACAAGCAAATGAACATGTTTCCAAAAATTGTCAAAACCGTCACGAGGCCCTAAAACTCTCCACCGAAACTACTACAGCCGGAAACGAAACACAAAAACCGCCACTGCAAAATAGCGTCGAGAACAGCCTCTTTGCATCTGTGGTTCTAAAAAGGTTACACAACACGAAAGGTGGAACGAGGTACTACTCCAAACTGAAGTGAGAAGGTGTAAAACTGGAACCGCAGCTGCAAGCTTACCAATTGACAAAGATATTTACAGAACGCAGGCTTACAGAAGACCTGACCAAACGTTTTGCAAATGTTATTTTTCAAACAGTGAAAATCTACACGCGGCGCTTGATGCTGCACTGCTCGTATTAAAACTGAAGCTCCAACTCATTTCTAGTCTTGAGTACTGAGATGGCATCACTCAAGCTGAATTGGAGCTGATCACAAATGGAGCAGCGAGATGACTCGAGTGAAATTTCAGTGTGTGTGATGGAAAAGCTGCCTACTCATTTGTTTTCGTCGGTGCATGAATACACAAAAAATTTACTTTCATTTGAATGAGCCATCTGTGGTTTGCATCTCTCTCTCTCGCTGCAGACAGAAGAGCAGAAGTAGCCGAAGGTTCAGGAAGGTGAAGCTAACCAGTCACAGCCACAGTCGAAGTCTTGTAACGTCTTCTGCAATGGACTGAGCTGCAGCTTTCCTCAAAAGGTTTTGTTCTTTCTTGTGTCCTCCAAAGGTTCTTAGTTACCTGATCAATATTCACAATGCATGAAAGTGGACACAGGGCCAACTGCGGAGCGATTTTAGCATCTTCCAGCTAATTTTACTTTGGTTTTCTGACCCCTACCTTCACGGTTTAGTTTCAATAACAACAACTATATACCATCTGCCATTGAGGTTGAAAGATGTGCAAAATTTTAAAAAATCATATTGCATTTATTTGGAAT